TTCCTGCAACAAAAATTTATCCCTTAATTTGCTGTTATACATTTCTCATAATTATCAAATGTTGTTAGGAAATATGAATAGACAAACATGCATTCACAAACATGTCCTTCAATAGCGAAATCCGCTATTGAAGTCATTCCTAGAAAACGCAATGCGAAAATTAGGGGCAAACCAGAAACTAAAATCTGGAATCTTTTGTGTTTTGGAATCCGGAATCTGCAACGGTAGAATCCGGAATCCAGCACCTGGAATCCGGAATCCACAGCGTGGAATCCAGAATCTAATACTGTCCTGGATTACCTTACATGGGGCGAACAACAGACTCCAATAACAAAAATTTAAGGACTCTTTTTGAACTGCTCAAACCTCCAGATAAGTCTTTTGCTTCCATAGTTATTAATTTTGGTGTTGAGAATGTTCACAAGAAAATTTAATGTAAATTGTCGCGGCTACGACATCATATTTCATTTTTCCGGGGAATCGTTCTTGTACCTACTCCACACCGCTGTATTGTGGCAAAGCTTTATCAGACTTCATCAGATAATTTGGTCTATAATTATCAAAGTTACCAGCAATAGAGGTTAACTTAATAAAATTTTGGTTATAAGAGATTCTGCCTCTTATCTAATGAATTCTGAAATTGCGATTCTTTTAACAAGATCTGCAATTAAACATTCTTTCCAGAAGAACCTTCTACTTCTTTGCCTGCTAGAAAGAATCCTCGTTCTTGAGAAAAAGAATTCCGGATTCTTGTGGCAAGAGTTTCTGAAATTGCAATTCTGTTCGTAAGATTTTTCATTAAATATTCTTTCCAGAAGAACTCTCTGCTTCATTACCTGCTAAAAAGAATTCTCGTTCTTGAGAAAAGAATTCCCGATTCTTGTAGCAAGAGTTTCTGAAATTGCAATTCTGTCCATGAGATTTGCAATTAAACATTCTTTCCAGAAGAACTCTCTACTTCATTGCCTGCTGAAAAGAATTCTCGTTCTTGAGAAAAGAATTCCCGCTTCTTGGGACAAGAGTTTTTGAAATAGAGATTCTTTTCAAGATATTCAGATGTAATGCATTCTTACCACAAGAATTCTCTCTTCTATTCAATCTTGTTTCAAGAACCTCGATTCTCCTTGAAAGAATCACCATTAAAATGTTTATTCTGATAAGAATTTTGGTTCTTAAGGGGAGAATATGCTATTTGGGGAATTTAGAGTGCTATAAAACTATAACTGTGTTATTTGAGGATCGAAATCCAAACTGTTTCATGTTTTGATTGCTATGTTGCGAATACAATAAATTTTCCATCGATTCTGGCATCCAAAGTCAGTTGTTCGTTAGTCTTTCGTTGCCCATCAAAGCCTGAAAACTTTCCGGAAATTTGTCCGATGATGAGCATGTTTCCCGTACGGCGTCTCAAGTTCTAGGAAACTGAGAAAATATTTACTCTAACATGCTAATATCCAACCAAGAAAATCCAGCCAAATTCAGCAATATGGAAACAAATAACGGGGTCAACCTCAAAAACTGGTGAATATATACATATCAAGTGTTACAATTCCCAATGGATTCGAAAATATGAACCTGTTTCCAACAAACGGGAAGAGCTGACCTAAGCACTAAGCCACGAGGTTTAACAATTTGGCTCTAAAGACACAATTTCCTCGCGGGTAGTTTCAGGAATAGAGCTGAAAATTATATGGTAAATCAATTACTTTACCTTGGCGTGAATCGTCTGCTTAGCAACGTCAAATAAGTCTCTCGAAGTAGAGATCAACCGCATCCAATCTGCAACTCAGCCATGTTGAAGACAGCTGTCAAATGAGCAAAAAATCCTTTCGGCTTGAAAGTTAACCAAGGAAGACTAGAAACGAGTTTCTAGTCTCTTTCAGTTCTTTAATATTCCAATATTCCAATAAATAACATAATTTAATTTGCTTGTTGAATAGGAAATGTACGTTTTTGTCTACTTTACACGTTAAGAAAACAGGTTAGGGAGTGATTCTTTATTAGCAAATTCCTTCTTATTCGTATTAAAAGTCATATTAAATAAATAAAAAGTTTTATATTCAGAGCTTTCGCTTATTATTGTAGACGCTTGGACTCGTACACCGATCGAAGCTTCAACATCCTCCCCGGGCAACTCAAGGGAATTTTCCAAAAGGGGCCTTACCGGAAGAGGGGAATTTGAACCTTGCTTGGGTGGGGTGGGAAAATTTGAACTTGAAGTATCAAGTCCTTTCGGTGGAATCAGTACACATGTTTTAATTTTTAATGAGGAAGAGTTTAAAGGTGAAGAGTCCGTAGAATGATTCTATTTGATTAATCTTTCAAAAGAGATATTATGTGAATATCGATACCATCGTCGATTTATACTACGCTCCTGTACACTCTCTTTTATTTTTTTCTTTAATATCGTGGGGTAATTCTTATGAGTTCAATCTCCATCCCGTATTTCTTTTTCAGAAACGTGTCATTCGTATTATTACTTTCTCCTCATTCTTAGAACATATTAGCCCTTTCTTTAAATCCTTAAAAATCATGAAATCTTTTGATCTTGTCAGATTTATTTTATCAGATTTTATGTACAAATTCCATAAACACCTCCTTACCTCCGTTTTCTCCAGCCTTTTCAGTTCTATCAGGAGTATTCATACCTACATCACTAGACTGGCTTCCAAACTTTTTTCGCTCTTCAAAATTCTCGCACAGTTAATGAATATCTCAAGTTAAGCAGCTTATCTGTTCAAAAAGAACTGAAGAATATATATATTGACATTTATCTTATCGCCGGCTGCGAGCATTCGCCCCTCGTCATCGCTCTGACGAAGAGCGAACGCTCGAAACGTCAGCCTTTAAACTCTCTGCGGTGGCCAATTTACGTTATCAACTCTGTTGATTACACTAAATTGTAAAGAAAACATAGGCAACTCTCGTGGGCATTATACTGTATTACAAACGCAGTTGGCTTTTCTCCCGGCTCTTGAATTAAACAAGTCATTCTCGATTCTCAAGAAAGCGAAACCTTTTTGCTATATAACAAATCCTTTATATATCCAGCTTGTTCGGTCGAGATGGCTAGATATTAAACTAATTTTTTTTTTGCATTTTTCTAGATCAAGACTTCGTTCCAGTCCGTAAAAACGCAAAAAAAGAACTCGGCCAACATCCAGCCATTTTGGCCGAACAAGCTTAGTGAAGCTTAGTGGTACCACTGTACTGGAATATCATATGGCGAGATAGTCCAGAGGTAAATCGGAGCGTTCTGATTGCTACTTACTTGGTCCTTATTTTCCCATACCCCACTTCCTTCAGCCGTACTAGGTAATAAAATTTGCGCGCTTTGAATAAATCTAAGTATTCATTTTTTTAAAATGTTTTCGGCCGTATTTTCATTTTGAATTTCGCTCGGACTGAAATAGTGCATCCGTTTAGGATAGTTTTGTGGAACAGAAAACAAGGACAGTTCGAGCTACAGTAAAACCACAATTACTACATTGAATACCAGGATATAAAAAAGGAATCCACAAAAACTTTAGTACCTGAAGCTGTAACATAATGTGTCCTGGTGATCAAAAGGGAAATTTTTGGGACCAAATGAGGAGCAATACATCGGAGTTGAAGATTTCAGATTTCAATTTTGATCAGTAACCGTGCGACTTAGAATTACTCTAGGTTCTTTTTGTCATAAAGTAATTCTACAATTTATGATAAAGAAGTAGGCTGCTAAGTTCTGTATCATATAATAGCCGTTTTTAACACCTTTCACACACCACAAATCCCTACCCCCCACCCCAAGGGATCGAACTCTCATGTTAGAAGAGCGGTGTTACTCGTATACATTATCTAATCATGTAACTCTTAGTACTTTTTGGAAGCTAGTTTTGACGAAAGCAAGTCGTCGTTTAATTCTGCACTGGCTCGTTTAGTGCGTGCCTTCACAATGGAACGTTTGGAGGCTGACTGTTTTTCTGGGGAGATTTAATTGGCAAGATCAGCGGCGTTTGGCTGTCTCTTATTTTAGCGAGTATAGCACTGACTTTTCTGTCTCCAATAGTGGCCATGAGGTTCTTAGAAGAACTGTTAAAGATAGCAAAACCGGTTTCGAAAAACGGACAGTGGCTTCCTCTGTCTGTTGCTTTGTAGGTGCTCGTGTGAATGTGAGCAAGCCAGTGAAGGGGGAGAGGGAGCCTTTAACGGAGGCAGGTCTCGTAAAGGAATAGTATCAAAAGCTCTCTTACGTTATTGCAAACTTACTCAGTATTAAGTTCACCGTTTTTGTAAAACGCCAAACATACCACCTCAATTAAAAAAAAAAACATAAATTTTTCCGTTTAATCTGTTCCCATCACCATTTTGCGTCTTTGTCGAGCGGCACTAACAGAGCTGACTCGAGATATTAATTGGTGAAACCAGAGATTAAATGTCCAATCTGTGAACTAATCTGAGTTCGGATACACCACGGCAACTTACTCCAAAAAGGTTAAAACCGGTGGTGCATGCTACATAAGCTGGGTTCTCGAGTGGGAAATTTAACCTCCTAATCTATCCCTCGATCCAGCTTTCTACATGTAATTCGTCTGGAACTTAACTTTACAAAGCTGAACAACTTAAACGAGGATGAAAAATTTTTGCAATGATCGGTACAGTGTAATGGCGGACAGTTAAAACGAAAAATTTTTGCTTATTGAAAAAAAAAAAAAAAAAAAAACAAGAAAACCATCTTTTTTTGGCAATACTTAGAAGGGTGTAATTTCACCAAAAATTAAATCAGAATCAGGTGAACGGGAAGACATTTTCCTCTTTTTTCTTACCTCGAGAAACTTTAACTAAATGTTCTTGTCCGAAAGCTTCCTTAGATGCCCAGTAGCCTCTCGGAGGATTGCCCTCCACCCCTCCCCCGACCCCAAGTCTTACTTGTCACCACTCGAGTGGTCTACACCCACAAACCAAGTACAGTAAACAATGTCGCCAGTAAAAAAAACCTTTATTACAAAATATTTGCGGTTCTATTTACATTAAGCGTTGTTTTTCACTCTGGTGATTAAAAATTCTTCGTCTACCTGGTATGTCTCTTTGACCCAAAATTAAGATTTGACTTGCAACTATTTATTTTGTTTAAATATAAAAATCTACTAAAAATTGATGAAACTATATAAGATTTAGACGACCCTCAAAAGACAGGTTTAAAGCTGGTCGGTGTCTCTGAGTTATAGCTTTAAGAATTGCGACTAAGAAAAGGAAGGCAGATTTAGTCTGGTTAGCTTACAGCTTGGATGCTGTAAAGCTTCACATAGACTGGCAACACCGATATCATTGATATAACTACCCTGCAGATTTAGTGTGGTTAGCTTACAGCTTGGATGCCGTAAAGCTTCACATAGAATGGCAACACCGATATCATTAATATAACTACCCTGCAGATTTAGTGTGGTTAGCTTACAGCTTGGATGCTGTAAAGCTTCAAATAGACTGGCAACACCGGTATCATTGATAGAACGACCCTGCAGATTTAGTGTGGTTAGCTTACAGCTTGGATGCTGTAAAGCTTTACACAGACTGGCAACACCAGTATCAGTGATAGAACTACTCTGCAGATTTAGTGTGGTTAGCTTACAGCTTGGATGCTGTAAAGCTTCCCATAGACTGGCAACACCAGTATCAGTGATCCAAGTGCTCACTAGACTTAATGCGGTTAACTTCCTTACTACTAATCTATTAATAACATCAACACATTCATCAGCCAAGTAAATGTCCAATAAGTTCAGTTTAGACACAAGACAGTGTTTATTGTTCAGTGAATTACAGACTCGTTGTATTCCAGACCGTGTTAGTTGTGGTCCGCTAAGTCCTACCTTCTTAAAGACTCGTTGTATTCCAGACCGTGTTAGTTGTGGTCCGCTAAGTCCTACCTTCTTAACTTTGACGAACTTATCAGAACATTTGTGTTGTGCCTCTCCAGCTTCCTCTTTATTTAGTTCACTGATAATGTCCAACACAAATGATACACCAATGCAGCCCACATCAGAAAAAACCTCAAAAGCCACGACGCCGTCTGAATTACAAAACGCTTGCGGATTATTCCTGATGAATTTTTTGGCAAATTCTTTGTTTTGATACTCATTCAGACACGTCATTTTAAGATTACGATGCATAAAGGGTGAATCTAATAATTTTTCCATCAGTTTGTTGACTTCTTCCAGCTCAAACTCGCCTTCCATCTCCCCTTCATCAAAAGTTGGCTTTCTCTCAACCACCAGTTTCGCCGCTAGTTTTGATAATTTCTCTAATGTGTTCTTGATGACAGAAGGGGGCTTGAATTGCTCAGGAATTTCTTTCTGTCTGTATTCTGACTCGGCGCAGTGCTTAAGTTCAAAGATATCAACAAGTTTGGTGTAAATGTTGGTTATTGAGACAGGAAGGTCATCAGGATTTTCTGATTCAGCAAGGGTATACTCCATCTCGAAGCACAACAGATAACACAGCATAGGAATATGAGCAAAACTGACAAGGTTCTCATTGTTCGTGACATGTTTAAGTACAGCGTTCTTCATATTTTCGTTGTTCTTGAAGTATTTCTCAATGTACTCTTTCACTTGTTCTGACGAAAACCCCGCAATTTCCACGTATCGTTTAAAACGGATTCCTCCCATTTTGTCAGATTCATCAGGTCGCGAGGTAACCATGACGATAGTCTCTTTCAAGATTTTTCCTTTGATGAGTTTTGAACATAATGCGGTCACCGGCATTTTACGTCTAGCATCATTGGGATGCTGTTCTTCTAAGTTTCCAGCGATGTAGTCTTGCTGTGAATACTCATCATAGCCGTCGAGGATGATCATAACTTCCTTGGGATGCTTTAAAATGTACTCAAATGTAGAGTCATCAATGTTACATCTGTCATCCAGAGTCGAACAACAATTTAAGATTTCTCTTACAGTCACACAGTTATTTTCAAGCAAATTCAATTGACGGAAAGTAAGCAAATACACAAACTTTAAATTGGGGATTTCAGTGTTTTCTCGTGCTTGAAATAATTCGTTGTTGGCCCAATCGCGAATCACCTTTTGGCAAAACAGGGATTTCCCAATCCCTGCTTTTCCAACGACAAGAAAAAAAAGACTACGTAATTACAAATTCAATCTTAGATGTTTTCCTAGTTTTGTCTAAAATTACCCAGTTTGTCAATCTATCATACAGTTTACAACTTTCCAAACCCATGCAAGATTAACAGATAGCATGGCGAACTTGTTTTGATGAACAACTCTGGGGTCAAAGTAGGTTTCGTCTCATCTTTTCCTTGAGATTTGTCAATTGCTTAGAAAGGAAAAGGCAACATTCACCAGAAGTTGATTTCTTTAAAACTTTTGCCTGATCATTCTATCAGTTCTTTATCGACCCTGCAGCCTTAATCAAACTTTGATCAAACATTAACCTTGTAAAAATTAATCAAATATTAACTAATCAAACACAAATTAACCCTGTAACCTTAATCAAACATTAAGGCTGCAAAAATGGAGGAAATGATCACCAACTTAGGAAGTTTTTGATTGTTAAAGAAATTCTACTTCTCAGCACCATAGAAAATGTATAGAGAACATCATGGAGAAAACACATACTGATGTTAGGGTGCAGAAGGTAAATTTTTGCAAACTGTTGTCAGCCAGAATCTACAAGAGATTGTTACATAAGGGGAAGACTAAAAGCTGCACTAATGATCAGGTACTGGATCCTGGCATGGTAACAATATAATTAATATACTTCACATGATATTCCATTCTCCGTTGATTTGGGAATCCTGCCAAGATCCCGGTAAGGTCCCATAAGGGGCCCTTTCGGCAGGTCTGATGGGATTCCCATACAATGAGAGATGGAATTTCATGTGAAGTACTTTATTAAAGAAAGTCTGGAAAAATGCAAAAGGAAACCAAATGGAAAGAAAAAGGGAGTGGAAACATAAGAAAAAGAAAACACCGATGTAAAATGCCAAAATAAAAGAAAGGAGAAATTTAAGACTGATGCAAGTCACTCCAAAAAATAAATGCTCATCTCTCTTGTGAGGTGCAGGAGCAATATGTGATCATTTGTGGAATTTGCCTACACTTGAGGCTGTGGAATCTTAAGGGCAACTCGTTTTGTTAGTTGTCACACAAGAGAGATAAAAGAGGGGGTTTCCACATACCCTCCTACTGTGGATCAATATTTGTGGGGTAAAAAGATTGTATAAATGTGCAACCTTCAAACCAGTGAATACTGATTACTCATAATAAGCAGAGACGAGAGGATTTTGAAGCCCTCTATATTTGTTCCTGTACAGTTTTCTTTTCCTAAGCATATTTACAAACAAAGTGGATTACTTATACAAACAGGCCAATGTAAAGAGTTTAAAAGCTGATGTTTTGAGTGGCAGCCCTTCGTTAAAGCATAGCCCTTTGCCAATCACTCATACAAAGGGCTAATGCTGGAAACATCAGCTTTGAAACTCTTTATGGTGGCCAATTTACATTATCAACTCAGTTGATAATACTAAATTACCCTGTTATACTCTTCCACAGATGTAGCACCACAGTTTCTTTAGAAACTTACCCCTTTTATCTACTTGTACAAACAGATGATAGAAATGCACGTTTCTTGATGATAATAATGGTATAAATACAGACAAACTTAGAAATATTTACTATCTTATTCAAAAATTTCTGTATCAGGCCCTTTGGTAGTGAAGGTGAGTAAGAGAGCTGGTAAGCTACAAACAGCTGTTGGGGTTGTCAGGGAAACTGCCACAGCCCATGCTGTTCTTTGCACTCACTCTCCTTCTCTCATTTCCACCAACCATGAGACTGACACAAGCTAAAAATTATTTCTGCTATTTTCTGGCTAAGAATTCTTCTTAAGAGATTCTATCCTGCTTGATATTCCATCATTCTTGTCCAATAAGACCTGAAAGAGAACATTATAAAGGTAAAGAAATCCACCCTTAACACCTAAGATCTGATTTTTAATTCTCCCCTCTGGCTGCTACACATTTCCTTGTGAATTAGTTATGAGAATTTGGTGATTGATCAAGATTACAATCTCTACCTGATAACTTTCAGTATTCTCATTACCTGTTTTCTGGATAATGTAGGGAGAGGTAACATGTTAATCACTTCTGAGAGTTCAGAAGGGTTAACTCCAAGATGTGATTTATATGTAACTTATACTTACAATTTTTATAAATTATCCAGCAAAAGACTTGATACACATATTAACTGAGAAAGTTGTGTATTGATGTAACATCATATTCTCCCTACTAATTTACAAGAAAATGTAAAGTGGCTTGAAGGGAGAATTAATAAGAAGATATTGAGGGTTGAGGGACCTGTTTCACTCTTTCCTTAGATGCTCAAAAGCAAACTTTTTATAATTTATTCAACATGATTAAAAGGCCTTTCAGCAGCAGTCTTTCAGAAAAAATCTTTCCTAGATCACAATGTGTATGTACAATCCATCTATTACTAACTAGTTATTAGATGAGGTTAAGCATAATGTATAATGGTAATAGGACCGAGTAGAGTCCAATTCTGTCTGTAATCATACAAGTGATTAACCCTTTAATCCCCAAAACTGATCAACATGTAACTTCTCCCTATAATATTCATGCACTATTCAAAAAACAGTTATAAGACTGAAAAAAAAATTTGAAAAATTTATAAGACAGTTCTTATTACATAAAATTGCAAGAGAAATCATGAACATTTCTTGTTCATAAATGAATGTACATGAAGAAACATCACTGAAAGTATGGACAGATGGAATTTTGAAAGCTTGCACATGTTATTTGTAATTTGCACTTGTGATACAACTTTGCACTCCTGTTACAAGAGAATTATGCACTTGTTTTCAGCCAATCAGAAGCTTGTAATTTTTTCATGTACATTATTAAACACTGTAATAATTTGGTGCAAGTGTTTAAGATGACTTCATGAAGTCATCTAAACCATCTATATATAGAAGAGATTAAAAGTAACCCTCAGGTATACACTACCCAAGAGGGTATAAGAGAGATTAAAAATAACCCTCAGGTATACACTACCCAAGAGGGTATAATGGTCCCAGGTATACACTCGACCAACATTTATACTCATATCTTCCATTCTCCAAACTCTGGATTATCTGGACTATAAAGCCTATGATTCTCCACAAGTCATGGATACTTTTACTATCAAGTCTTTGTTTGACCATACAGCCAACTGTCTGGATTATTCAAAATTAATTACACTGTCAGATTAAAACTCTATACTGTAGCTAATAAAATTCAGATGTTTACTTGAATTACTATGGACAACATAAAGTCTAATTGTCACCAATTAATAATAAAAAATATATAATATATAAAATGCAGTCAAACCTTGATTATCTGGACCTCCATTATCCAGATTTTTCCATTATCTGGACTTGCTGCTCTGGTCCCATTTTCTACCAACATTTATACTCATATCTTCCATTCTCCAAACTCTGTATTATCTGGACTATAAAGCCTATGGACTATATCCACAAGTCTGGATAATCAAGGTTTGACCATACAGTCAACTGTCTGATTACACTGTCAGATTAAAACCCTATAAAAATAACTATCGAAAAATAAACCATCTAACGCACCAATTACATTTGAGGAAATTAAGTAATGGTTATGATTAACCCTAAGATTCCCAAACTTCTAACAGACAGTTATTGAGGGTGATTTTTAACGAAATTAGAGCAAATCATATTTTAGAAAAGAAAGATGATTTTAATAACGTAAACATTACATAAAGAAAAGTGGTAATATTGAATGCCACACAAATGAGTGATATAAACAAAACAGTGCAATTAATACTTAAAAGCTTGTGTTGTATAAACAGATAACACTACAGAAACAAAAACATTTTCACTGTACAGCGGCAGGAGTAATATTATAACAATAGAACCCTTAAGCCTTTACACCCTAACATTAGTGTTCATATTCTCCACACTGATCTCTCTACATTTCCTGTGGTAATGACAAGGAGAATTTGGTTGACAATCAGGTCAGCTTCTTAATTGGTGATTATTTCTATTATTCTCACAACCCTTACACTTGATTCAAGGGTGATACTGTAAGGAGAAATTAGAAGCCAGTCACTCTTAGGGGTTTAAGGGTTAATAAACTGGTGAAAATCTTCCATCTGGCTTTTAAATGCATATTGATTATATGGTCACATGTTAGAGGATTGGATTCCAGTGTTAATATCATGGATCATGTATTAACAACAGACATGT